TTTATTTTATACATCTCACAAATTAATTTTTGCAAATTAAATAAACAAATATAAAAATACTTAAATATTAAAGCTAATTAATTAATTAATTAAGACATATAAATTAACCAAATACAAATAATAAAAAATCAAAATAGACAATAATAAAAGGAAAAAAGAAAAAATAGATAATCAAATAAAACAAAAATAAATCAAAACATAAAAGCAAATGAAAATAGGAAAGAAAATCAAGTGGAATAGGTTGGGCTTACCTCTAGTTAGCGCACAAGTCTAGTTGGGTTGGGTCACGGGTTTGCAAAAGGTTTTAAATCAATAAGGTGTAGTTCCTTGCCTAATATAAAACTCCCCCCTTTTTTTTCTCTCATTTCAATTCCTCCTTTATTTGTCTAAGCCACATTTTCCTTTTACTTCTCTTTAAAACCCAAAAAATTAATGTTGAAATCTTCAAACCTTTACTAAAAACTTCACCTAACCATTGGAAACTTCAACAAAAAATTCAAAGTCATGGAAAAATTTAATCAAAAAATTCAAACTATTAAAAAAAAAAAAAGAGAAGTTCCCAAAAGATCTCTAAACTCAATTTCGGCTTTTCCTATCTTATTCCCCTATATGTAGTCTCCTAAATTGATCCTACCCGCAAGCAATCTTAGAAATTATTTTTTACCCAAAAATATACCAAAAAACATTATGTTAGAGAAAATTGCTATTTCTTTCTTGCTTGTTGAATTTTAAACTCTTTGTTTCTAATTATTGTTTGTTGATTATTGTTTTTGATTCTTGATTTTAGGTTCTTTAAATAAGCAACTAAACCCTAATCAAAATAAAATAAAACTACCAAATACGTAATACCATTTGGATTTAGACTTGGATTTTTAATCCAATTCCTTTTCAGATCTCTTCCCAAAACACCATCCAAATACACTTTTATTTAATTAGTATTCTAATCCTATAAAAAGTGTAATTATAACTCATGATCTTTAATTCCAAAACAATTCTAGGATTTTTTCCTATTCCTTTCAAACCCACATTCCCTTTTATAATTTGGGCCTTTTTTTTCCTTTTTTTTTTATAAATAACCAAAATAGAATAAACACTCAATAAAATAAATAAAAATTTAAAATTTAACTATAATCATAAACTAAATAGAATATTTGCACCACTAAAACAACAAATAACTAGATTTTTTATAGCGTATAGATCCGTAAACTTATTGTTAAACGTAGACTAAAGAAGTCACTACTAATCTTTTTTGTTAAGGTGTGATTGGTCACCTGATAGAATTTATTTTATTTAAAGAGAAGTCTCAAGATTAACTTAGGTATTTTTAAATAGTAAATTCTAGCATATAAAATCAAAATATAAGTCTGAGAGTACGGTTATACATAAGAAATGTTATAGCACATTTACAACATCCATTAAAAGATGGTACCAGTCTGACTTCAAGTTATTCAAGCCTTAAAATATATTTAAAATTTATCAAATAATTTAATATTAAAAATTTTCCTTTAATTACTCTAATATGTTGGTAATAATTTAAGAATATTTCATCACCTCAAGAGTATTCAAAAAGATTATTTGTTACATTTTGAAAAGCTTACGCCGTCAGATTAATTTAATTTTCCTTCTAGAATTAAATATCTATAACCCCAATTTATAGTAAAAAATATCCTCCAATTGTTGGTAAGATTTTCTGTTGAAAATTATCCTTCAACTATTGGTAAGATTTTATACAAAAAGACAAGAAATGTTATTTTATTATTTTTTTTGAAAACTTGATCTTTTAGGAAATTATAAGACTTTCTAATATATTGGTAAAACCTTATTTTAAAAAAACATTAGCCCCCCAATTTGTTGATAAGGCTTTTTATTTATATATATTTTTAAAATAAATAAAATTATAACGTTTTTTAATATGTTGGTAAAACTTTTATTTTTTAAAAAATGATTACCTTTCAATTTGTTGGTAAAGCTTTTATTTAAAATTTTATTTTGTTATATAAAAAATGTCCTTTATAAGAATACTAAAAATAATAGACAAATAAATAAATGAATAAATAAGTAAATAAAATAACATATAAAGAAAAGCAAAATTACTTGCAGTTGGCTTGGCTTGGCTATTAAAGAGGGTGGCTATAGTTACAAATCAACTCAAGTGGCTTAGAACTTAGCTTTCAGAATGGCTTGGCTCAGTGTAGTAAAAAAGGAACGGGTCAAAATCGGATTGCACTAAGGGTCTAGTGCGAGTATGGTAAAACACATGGACATAGGTGCCCTTAAGGGTTTTAAAATGGCGTCGTATTTGGTTATTATAAAAACTAAAATTTTAGGCTTTTCTTTAGAAATGCATGAAAATGCCTCTCTTTATAAAATGATTATTCTGTTGTCTTCTCTCTAATTAATTCATAGCAAAAGTACTTTGTAATTGGCTTGGCTTGGCGGTTAAAAAGGGTGGCTATAGGTACAAATCAACTCAAGTGGCTTAGAACTTAGCTTCTGGAATGGCTTGGCTCAGTGTAGTAAAAAGGGAGCGGCTCAAAATCGGGTTGCGTTGAGGGTTTGGTGCGAGTATGGTAAAACACATGGACATAGGTGCCTTTAAGGGTTTTAAAATGGCATCGTATTGGGTTATTATAAAAACTAAAATTTTAGGCTTTTTTTCAGAAGTGCATGAAAATGCCTCTCTTTATAAAATGGTTATTCTGCTGTCTTCTCTCTAATTAATTCATAGGTACCCAAAAATTAGTAAATAAATCCTAGAAGCCGGTAGAGAATTTTCAAAATCCGATGAGATTCTTTGATGCTAGTGCCGAAAGCTTCAACTCCACGTCGAAAAATTCAAAGAATTTTCTAGAAACCTAACAAATTATCTAAAAAACTAAACCTAAAAATCCCTAGAAAGCAAAACCTTACAAAAATTTAACCCAAAACACCAAATCCCAATTCTAGAAAATCTAAACAAATAAAATCTAGAACCTAATACCTCTTGGCTGCTAAACAAATTTCTCTCTTTTCTTTCAAGAGTTTTTGTATAATTTTTTTCTCCCTTTTTTTTTGTGTATGGTTGATTGGTGTTTATATATGGCTTTCTGTTAGAAATTTTTGAGATTTGCATTGAATGGAAAAGATTGTAAATTTGATTATGCTTTGAATTGATTTTTTCTTGGTTCTCTTTAAAATCAATTTAATTAATTTATGGAATTGTTTTGATTTTCTTTGATTTTCAGAATCCCTCAAAAATTTTCAAATTAAATCTAACTTTGATTCCTTGATTTGGTTTATTTTCAACCTTTTTTTAATATTTGAAGCGATCATATTTTAGTTTTAATTGACGATATCATCCTTAATTAGTGCTTAAATTACTCCCTAAATTTTATTAATATGATTTATGATAAAAATTTAAACCAAACAAATAAAAGACTAAAAGATAAATAAATAAGACAAACAAAATATAAAAAAATGTAACAAATTAAACAATTAAACTTGAATTGAATTTAGACCCAATTTGTTTAAGTTAAAGACTAAATAAAGTGTCTACAAGAATTAATCAAGTGTATGACATATGAGCTAGCTTTAGTTTATGCCCCTCTAGAAGATGATCTAGTGTTGCACACCGTAAGTGAAATTGGACTTGAATATAAGGAGATTAAAGCAACAATACAGCAACAAAAACAACCATCATATTTTAAGAACTTTATGATAAATTTGCTGAGAATGAACAATTCTTGTAAAAAACTAGAACTATTCCAAAAACTCCAATCTTGACAGCCAACTATAATAAAACTTCTATTCCTAAATATAACAAAATGACATTCACAAGGGTTTATTTTTTTCTCTTTTACATTTTAGCTCTCTATTTTTTCTCGCTAATATCACTCTATGTTAACATAATCATCTAGAATCAAGTCAGAACTAAGTTTATGCATTCACTAATGGCAATTAAAATACTAAAATTGGTCTCAATCAATAAAACATAAAATTAAATATAGATAAAATTATTATTCTGATTGAGAGAATTTTGAGCCACGGATTAGAAAATTAAAATATTTATATTTAATAATTAATTAATTAGCTAAAATGCTCATTAAATTCTTGAACATTCTCAATTTTTTTAGATTTTAATATTTTTATTTTACTCAAATAAATTTTTAAATTTCAATTGTTTTAAAAATAAACTATTATTCCAAATGTAAAGCTGACTTTTATTATTCTTAGTTCAAAATTTTTGTCCACGTGAAAGCTAGCGTGACCAAAATTAAAAAAAAAAAAAATCTTGAAAAATATTTTATCAGGAAAATATTTTCTCCAAATTTCAAATTTTATCTGCCATCAGGCCAAGTCCAAATTAAAATTTATTTGTTTTTGTCCATGTCATAGAGCGACTTTTACTTGGCATTAATTGTAACAAAAGTCAACTTCCAGTTTGAAAAAAAAAAAAAAACAGATATAAATTAAAGATTAATTATTTATTTAGATATAATAAAAAGGTTTAAAAATTTACCTTAAAAAATTATAAAATTTAAAAAGTTTTTATTATTTAATTAATATATTATTTTTTTTATAAAACATGTAATATTTATTTGTCAATCTTCTAACTTTTTTGCAAGGTTGAGAAAAAATTTGAAAAATTTGAAAACAATTCGTAGTGTTTGGTTTTTATTTGAATAGTAAATATTTTTATTTGGTACAATTTTCAGTTAATAAGTTGGAAACCAAAACTATTTGAATTATACTGAATTATATTTTATTAATTATATTTATATTACCTTTTAATTTTAAGATAAGTAAGTATTTTATTTCTAAATCTATGAAAATAAACTATAAATAATTTTAAGAAATTTTTTTTTTAATTTTGTTATACGTTGATTGCCAAGTCAACTTCAACCCTTTGATTACCAAGATAGCCCCGCAACAATCGTCTACCACTTGATCTCCAAAGCCTGATATGTAATAACCAACTACTCACCTATTCAAACAGTATTCATTCATATTATAAAAGGTAAAGTTAGAACATATATACATTTTATTTGAACCCTTACACTTATCTTTAGGGTCTCTAACCTTCCCCTTTCACCTTCTCTCCGTTGATTCAAGTATCGGAAACTTCCAACTCTCTCTGTCCTCTCCCTATCTTACAAGTTAGCCTCTCAATGTAACTTTCCAGCAAAGCGCTCAATCACCTTCAGCAAAAGACCTTCAACAAATTTCAAAAGCCTACGACTTAAACCAATAAAATTGGTTTCGGGTTTGCTCAATTAAGAAGAGGATTTGATTTGATTTCTGTTAACAGTATTTTTCATTTAAAAATCTTCAATCCATTTTTTTGGAGTTTAAAAAATTCATTGAGCTTGGACTCAATGACAATCAATGATTTGAAGGCGCCTGCAAGATCTTTTGATCAAGTTCAGGGATTTGAATCCTTCCATCTTCCGTCTGGCAGGGAGTAAGGTCGTTTAGAAGTATATACATATATATATATATATATATATATACACTTTTCCATACAAATATTTCCTGTAACGCCAAAAATTTAGAAGAAAGTCACGTCACCACCTAGACATCACAAATAAGAGCCAAAAAGCCGAAGACACACATGTCATGTGCAAATTATTTGTAAAAGTCGCCAACGGGCGACCCTTCCCATACCCACGCGCTCTGTTTGTTCCTCTTATTAAAAAAGATAAAAAAAAAAAAAACCCAAATCCCATTAAAAGCTGAGCTCCCAACATCCAAAACATTAAAAAAAAAAAAAAAAACAACGCACACACACAAGATGAGATTCCTGGTCTAACAACTTTGTTCCGTTGAGGCTGCTTCCCTAACACGCGCCTCCCCTTCATGTTACGCGCCGCCATTGCCCTCTTAATTTTTTTTAGTTTTCTCTTTCTTTTGTTTTTCTGTTACATGTAAATTAAAAAGTTCCTAAGAAGATCGGACGGTCGAAATAGAGAGTGGAGGTTTCGTGGCGGCTGAGTTATTTAGGTAATTTTAATGAAAGAGGAACATCCGCTGATGCTAAGAAGAAGATGGGAGGAGTCACGTCGTCGATCGCCGCCAAATTCGCTTTCTTCCCGCCAAATCCACCGTCGTACACAGTGGTAGAGGACGAGTCATATGGTGGTCGGCTTTGCATACCGCAGGTACCGAGGAGGAACGACGTGGACGTCCTGAAGCTGCGCACGGGCCGTGGAAACGACATCGTTGCCGTCCATATAAAGCACCCGAAAGCTTCCGCTACTCTCTTGTATTCTCATGGAAATGCCGCTGACTTGGGACAAATGTTTGAGCTTTTCGTCGAGTTGTGTAATCGCCTTCGAGTTAATCTTATGGGGTAATTTATTTTCTTTTATTCTTATTTTTTATACGTATATAAATTCACTGAGTCCTGGACTACATAATGGCAAGTATTCTTTCGATTTAATAACGTTGGAGTCTTAGATTTTAACTATTTTGTTTGAATCAAGGTTGTTTTAGCTTAGAGAAAGTTGTTAGTTTGGGTTTTGATTTATGGGATTTGGTGTATTTTCTTGGGATTTTGGGGTTTTATTTTTGGTGATTTATTTTCTAAAATGGTTTTAAGGCAAATTGGTAACTGTTTTATTTACTGTATTAGTTCTGAAGTGGAACTTGCTTGGATTCAGCTGTCCAGTTGGGGATAGTTTCATGGTGAATGTTAGGGGAAGAAGAGAGATTCAGGTTGGAAGTGAAAGTTATGTTGATTAGTGGTTGTGATTTCACTTTAATTGGCTTCATTTGCACAGTAATAAAGAGAAAAAAAATAAAGGAGAAAGAGATAATTTGGAACGAATTATTGGTTAAGGTGTTTTTGTTAAGTTACTTAGAGCTGACAGTTTCTGCACTGTGAGGACAGTATTGCTGTCTTATCTGGGCATGGATACTGTTAACACTTAATTGAAATGCTATGGGCCTTTTTACTGTTTATTAATCAAGGAAGCCTACTTAAGGCAATATAGAAGAAGATGGTTCATGGCAGGGTCATATTAGTATGGTTACTTGCTTGTTGTTGAGGAGCTGGATGTATACCTTTTTGCTAACAGTGCTGTGAAGCCTTTAATGCCTAAGGACATTCACATGCAGGCAAATATCAAGAAAGAAAAAAGGTGTAGACACGTGATTGTAATGTCCAAATTTTGATACCTTGATTGTGTAGGTGTGTAGTTCGCTCACCAGATGTTTTTTCCATAAAATATAGGTCACACCATCATAGCAGCCCTCTGTTCCTCTACAGGAAGTATGCCCAACTGAAGAGATATTTCTCAATTTTTTTGAATTTTCTAATTTTGTCTTATACTTTTGAATAACATTAGGGAAGTTTACATTTACAGTATTGTATTACAGACTGTGGAACAATGCAATCTCGACTTCTTTTCACTATAAGGTTTACTAAAGGTCCTGCATTATTTTCCTATAAATTCCCATGTGTATGAATTATCCTGCTTTCATTCCCTTCCACTCTGTTATTACCATTTCCATAACTATTATGCTATTTTATCATCATTCCTTGAAGTTGATAGGATCCTGTCATTGTTGCTCATCTATGCTCACCTCGAAAAGTTGGATATTGAGTAACTTGAACTGCAGTGTGTGTAAGTGGAGCATAGTTTTTCTTGAAACAGCAGACAGGGTAAATGGTGGTAGGTTTGTTGGGGTCATTATGTGGGATGTCAGTATTTAATATCAGGACCGAAAGATATGCTACAAAATTTAGTAATGACATATAACAGTGATAAAGTAAAAGAAAGAGAAGGCAACGTTCTCCTTTTAAGTCCAAATTCTTAAAATTACATGCAAATAGTTCGGCTTATACTATGTGCCGTTGATTGTTCAAGAGTACGACTACATGTTGACTGGTCAGACCACAAAGTGATAGCAGTTAAATATTTTCAGCAACTGCAAAGTGATAACTGATAAATATCAATTATGTTATTGTAGTTACATTTTAGGCATTGTTAAATTTAGAGTATATTATGTCATGCAAATGTACAAGGAATGCAAGGAATAATTTTCTTTTTAGCTTTTATCATTGACAAACAAGTTAATAATCAATCATTTCTTCAAGGAAGTTCTTTTAGGCGCTGTTTCTACTTCTATAAAATGATTTCTGAGAAGTTTTTCAGTGGTAGTTTATTTGGGCTGTTATTGCTGTACTTTTAAACTGGAACTTATGTATGTTGCCTTATCATATCAATCTACTGACAATCTCAATTTTGTTTGTGGCATATGCTGACATGCATTCTTTTATGGTTGTAAATATCAAGGTCGGTGGCCTAATATGAAAATGATTGTCTCCTGTGTGTGTGTTTTCTTTGCCATTATTGCATTTGCCTGACTTCACGTTACCTAATGAACCCCTAAATATTGAACCCCAAAATATTATGAGCACGTTATTCTCATGTGGAGACTTTGTAGGAGAAGGTGAACTAGAGTTGTCAATCTTTATATGTATAGCTCTTTCCAAATTTCTGTGAGTTATGATGCAAGATTGAGCTGCCATTCAAACAAATGAAGAAACTTTTATCAGAATCTCTACCTGCCAAAGACTAATGAACAGCTTTCTCCTGTTCTTAACAAACAATTGACCACGAGAGGCTTGTTGGGGATGGACTAACTGCCTACCAACCACTTCCTAATTGAAGGCTTGGACCACTGCATTTAATATTTTGGGAAAGTCTTATCCAAATAAAAAATTTGGAAGTCTTATTCTATAAAATTCTAGCTGACGTTCTAGAGAGACACATCACATGATTGTCCAGTAAATTAGAATACCTGAAGGAATATTTTATCGTCTTTTTTATTGCAGGTGAATTTTTAGTCTAGCCTTTCTCTATAATTATTCACTTTTCTGAACTGTTCCTAATGTCACTCATTTTTTTTCTCTAGGTATGATTATTCTGGCTATGGACATTCAACTGGAAAGGTTGGTCAGTCATCTTCTCTTCTCTTAGTTGCTAATGTTGGGAGAAAAAGTTGCCCTTGTTCATATTAGCTATAGTAATTTAATGGACTGTTTAAACAATTACACAGTAATCTCTGGCCAACAATTTCCTTCTATTGTTCCGCTAATTAAACTGATGTTCATTTCACGTGCAAGATTTGAGTTCTTAGAGTGCTCTGAGGGTAAGCCTGTAGGGCAGCTAATTTTTTATGATATTATGAATAATAACATAATAATATAATATCTAATTGTATTGGTTGACCCAAATGTGTGCAGGATTTTATTCTTATCCTATAATTTTGATATTTTATATACTAGTTTCTTGCAAACTTTGTAGGGCTTCTCACTACTTTGCTGTGTTCAACGTGTTTCAAAATCTAAGAATTTCTATGCAGCCATGTCATTTCTGATTCATTGTTTGTAATGAATGAATGCTGTACTGTTTGATAAAAACCTGTATTCTAATAGTCACCTTCTTTTATTTGAAACAGCCAACTGAGTGTAATACTTATGCAGACATAGTTGCAGCATATAAGTGTCTTAAGGAACAGTATGGAGTTAAAGATGAACAATTAATATTATATGGTCAGTCTGTTGGTAGTGGACCTACTGTTGATCTTGCTTCTCGTTTGCCAAAATTGAGAGGCGTGGTTCTACATAGCCCTATTTTGTCTGGCATGAGAGTATTGTACCCTGTCAAAAAAACATACTGGTTTGACATTTATAAGGTAAGTCTGTGTTATTCTCCCTATTTCTATTTTCTTGTTTAATCTTGTAGGTTGTGACCTTAATTACTGGGTTTTTTTCCCCATTCAAAATTTCAGAATGTTGACAAAATTGGAGCAGTGAACTGTCAAGTTTTGGTAATTCATGTAAGTATTGTTCCCATTGTTTTGATATTTATCTTACCCATCTTGTTTCATCAGCATTATCTCTCTTCTCTTCTGTCTCTCTCTCTCTCCTGCCTCCCTTGGTTTGACACATTAACAGAAGTATTATATATTTGTCCTGGTTAGGGCTGTCAATGAACAAGCCGAGCCGAGTAAACCCTTTTTCAGACTCAGCTCAGCAAAATTTTGACAAGCTTAAGCTGAACTTGACAAATATTGTTCAAACTTGGCTCGATTAATTAACTGAGCTTTCAAACAAACACAAGCACATAATGAGCTCTCAAAATAAGCCACTAAAAATGGCTTCAAATTCCAAATGTTTTAAACTTGAAAGTCAAACAATTAATGCTGCCGGCCTGACAATGATAGACTGGCTATCAAGGATCCAATTGGCCCTTAATTGGCTATGAAGGATCCAACTGGCTGTCATCGATGCAGGCTCGCCCGCCCTTTAGTTTGTTTTCCCATCAACATGGGATTGACTCAAAAGAGTCTGGAAAGAGGAGTTTTTTTTTTTTTTTTTTTAATTTAATTATTCTCTTAAAATTTATCATAACTCCAACTTTAAGCAAATTAAAATGTATTACAAAATCTTAATCTAAACAAAACAAATGGATGATTTTAATCTACATTATGTGTAGTTCAGCCTTGATATGAGTACTCACTATAAGTGAATCTTTAATTGTACTTGGTGTTTTAGCTCAATCAGTATGAAATTGATTGATTTTCTGGCTATGATGGATGGATAATTGAGATTCTCATCTGATATTAAATAAAGTTAATGGCTTATCAGCAGCTAATGCATTTCAACTCATAGGTCTGGATGACTTAATTTATCTTTAATACTCCTTATTGTGCCATATATTGTGTAGCTTTCAAGAATTCAAGATTTTGTTGAGAGTAAATATATGTTTTTGACCAGAGAGAGAGAAATGAATAGATATCCTTTTTTGGATCTCTTTGAATCACAGCATAAGTGCAGTTTGTTTTGTTGATTTTTCTCCCTATGTTCAGTTTGGGGCTTAACTTTGACAAGTGAGCACATCTGCTTGCAATCTCATGCTCCCTAAACATTGATATTAAGAGGAGCTTCTATACATTTTTTTTTTTCATTCTTATTTTAAAGGCAGTGATGAAGCTCATTTTGTTATGTTGGCAGGGAACAGCAGATGAAGTTGTGGATTGTTCCCATGGTAAACAGCTTTGGGAGCTTTGCAAGCAAAAGTACGATCCTTTATGGGTAAGTGGTGGAGGACATTGCAATCTTGAGCTCTATCCAGAATTCATTAGACATCTGAAGAAATTTGTGTTATCCCTAAACAAATCAAAAGCGGCCACAAATGGTTCTGAAAAAATAGCGGTAAACTGTGACTGTCAGAGCAAACTATCCGATGGTGGAACTTCGGAAACTTTTGAATTGGGTGCTGACCTTCCACAAGTTTCTAGAAACAGCTTAGATAGTCGACTTGAGAAGTCTAAGAAGTCAAGTAAGCCTGAGAAGTCTCGAATGAGCACTGACCATGTTGATAGGTTTAGGAGAAAAAAGGGCTTAGCTTGGTGATTACTTACATGAAGAGCATCTTAAATAAAGTACGGGCATCTATCCACTTGAGGAGGTAATTTACTTTAGACTTTTGCTTTTGTAATGTTGCATCATAGTCCAGCATAAGTTATTGGATTGAGTGTGATTTTTCTCATAAATGTTATAATTTTTCTGTATCATCACAAAACAAGTCCAATTAAGTGAAAAATCTGACATTATAAATTCTTCTGTATAGACAACAGCCCCAATGCTAAATGAAAATATTCTAGTAGTTTTTGATATAAGGTTCTTTGATCTGTGTGGTCCAATCTTGGAAGTTTTTCTTGCATTTTTTAGCAGGTTTTAGGAAGCTGGTGTTTATTTGTGGTGGAATGAAATTCGATCAAACTTTTTGTTAACTTAATGTTAAATTGTAAATTGTTCATGTTGAGACAGTGTGTGTTATTTTCCAATCAAAATTGGTTGGTTCTGTATGGAGTCAAGACTCAAGAGCAGTAAAATCAGTACCTCCTTCCCTGCAAATTGCGATTGAAGTTTCTACTTGGTTTTTAACCGATTTACAAATATGAAGGAAGAAAATTTGGCTACGTTTCTAAGGTAAAACATGGGAGGCTTTGTGTGATGATTTCTGATCGTCTTAACGTGGACTCAATGATGCCTACGACCGTCCAAAAAAATCCGAGAATATATCATGGCATAACCTAAAGCTTGGGGTTTTGCTTAGTAAGTAATGTATTCATTATCCAAGGAGCAGTAAACACTGCTAAGGGCAATTACAATGGTGTGCAACAGTTACTGTACAAACATTTCTTTATTCAACTTCCATCTTTCTCTCAGTATTTGATTAACTCGATCAAAAGCTATATTCTTTTCACCTATCATTTAGCCTCACTACATTTTTGATTTGCCTCAAGATTTGCACTTCTATGCTTCCTTCGGAATTGTAGAGCACCTTGTTCCTCTCCACCCAGATCAAATATATGTAAGCTTTCCATGTCAGTCTTAAGTATTACAGAAACAAATGCGTTTCCTTTTAGCTTGCTCATTTCCTACTGGAACTCACCTTCCTAGTCATCCACCTCAATTTGCAGATTACATGGCTACAAAATCTGTTTCTAAATAGCCTTCGAATATGTGCAATTGAAAAAAAAAATATGATTCCTGTTCTCTTTTTCCAGCTTACATCAAATACTATCTTCATCCATTGACATCCCCCACCATTTCAGCCTGTCTTTAGTAGGAAGCCTATTAAGAATAGCCATCCAAGCTATTCCTAAACATTTCTTATTCTTATTTCCTCTCGCACTTTTCAGTATTGTAGCTAGCATCGTTGATGCTCCAAACAACCCCATCTTCGATCTGTGTTGAGAACATGGAGACAAAGCTTTTTTGCTTGAGTAGTTTCTTCATGCCTAACTATAGCTTGGTTTGACGGGACTGTCCTCTATGCTTGTCCCTTGAGCACATAGCTCATTATCCATGCTATCCACAGCGATCGAGTTTGTGCATAGTCGAACTAGATAAGCTTAGGAACACAAGCTTGATTCCATATTTCTACATATTTTAATCTAAGTCCTCCCTAAAATTTTGGTCTACATATAACTTGCCAATTGTCTCGAGCCCCCTTATTATGCTTGTCTGACCTTTCCAGAAAAATCTTAAGCATAATTGTATGATCTTTTTGATAACCTGCTTATGAAGAATGTAATGCCTGCACCAATAATTATGAAGGCTAAATATCACAGACCGCAGAAATTGCAATCTCCCAAAGTAAGATGCTTGATTGTCTAGCTCTATATTCTTCTGTAATTTTTTCAATTAATGATGCATAATCCCTAATGATAAGCCTGCGAGTGACCAACGGTACTCCTAGGTACCTGACAAGCAGGTTGCCAAGCTTGAAACCTATTTCTCTCAGAGTCTCTGCTAATTCATTGCTTGATACATTTGTGCAAAATAGTTCACTTTTTGTACAATTTAGCTGCAATCCAGAAAATAAGTAAAACAATTTCCATATGTTTTGGATGCCAATAACTATGTCCTGGTTTCTTTTAGTGAAGCTAAGGTCATCAGCAAAGCTCAAATGTGCCAATTGAACCCTTTTACACTTTGGATGGTAGGAGAAAACACCATGACCATCAGCAAGATTCAAAAGTCTAGATAACATATTCATTACAATGACAAGCAAGGAGACATTCGGCCCCTACCTTACTCCCCTTCTTTTTTGAAATACCTAACCAAGCCACCATTAATGGACAAAGAGAACATTGGTGTGGTGAGGCAGCTCTTATTCTAGCCAACAACCTCATAGGAAACCCCTTTATGTCCAGGATTGACATAAAAAATTCTCAATTCTCAGAATCGAAGGCTTTCTTCAAATTAATTTTTAGAGGACATCTAGATGAAAGAGTGGTTCTACCATACCTTCTCACCAACTCTTGTGCCATTTGAACATTACCGTTATACTATTACCCTTAATGAAGGCACTCTGATTGTTGCTAATCAAGTTGGCAGCACTTGCTTAATCTTACTTGCTAGTATTCTGGTGATGGCCTTATAGATAACAAAGCAACAAGATATTGGTCTGAAATTCAAGATATTAGTTGGAGATTGGCATTTAGGCACCAAAGCAATGATAGTTAAGTTGACAGCAGTAAACATTTCACCATGTTGAAAGAAATCTGTTACAGCTGTAGGGACATATTTTCCCACTATGCTCCAAGCAGTTTAAAGAAGTGAGCATTATACCCATCAAACTCTGGTGATATATCACTATTTTTTAAGAATATAGCCTTCTGTATTATGATAACTCTATAAAATAGAAATACTTTTATTGCTTAAATGAGTTAATTTTGTTTAGTTCTTGGTGAAATAATGATCTTTTTACTTTTAATATGCTTAATTTGCTGTTTTGTAGGAAATCTTGAAGAAAAAATTGAATCTTGGTGAATCTTGATGAATCTTGAAAGTTCTTGATCGATCTTCACTAGTTCTTAATATATTTAGAGTAATCTTGGATTATTCTTGGTTAAGTCTAGTTAATTCTTAAAAATCTTGGAAATCTTGGAGTTGAAATATTGAATTTATATAAGATTTGCTTTGTTGTACCTATTAGAGTAAATAATTGATGAATCTTGTAGAAAATTTTAAAAAATTAATGCAAGAATCATGTAAGGGATATTCAACTATATAAGGGTTAGATTTGTAATTTCAAGTTAAGTGCAAGCCCTTGGCAACTTATGTAGATGCATATGCATGTTATTATTAGACATGGTAGCAAGTCATCTTATTAGCCAAGAGAGATGACTTGGTGCTTATATGGCATGATGACTTGGCAATTTTGTCTAAACTGAAAAAGTCCAAGCAACCTTTTGTTTTCCTAGTTGATTTAGTATTCCATGTTAAATTAGAAAGTCCTATTTTGATTAGGTATTTCTACCTAGGGTAGGATTTGCATGCAATTTAGAAGGATTCAAGGTAAAGGGTGACTATTAAAAATATTAAAATTAGAATTTAATTTTTTTTTCTCCAAGAAGATTTTACTTGAAGCATAACCTTAAGAAGTTTTCAATAAGGAACAAAACCTATTCCTACTTGAAGATCATATTTTAGAAGGTTGCGTAGAGTTTCAAAATAACTTAGCAACTTTTCTTTTCTCTTAAAGAACTCTAGCTGCATACTATTCTTTAATTTTAAGAAATTTAAAGTTTAAGAAACCATTAAGAAGAGTTAAGCAGCTAAAATTTTCAAGATTTTTAAGTTGCTAAAAAGACTTAAAACTATACAAGATTCTTGCCAAACTAATGTTGCAAGCAACTAGAAGTTAAGACTTTGAGAATTGTTTCAAAGAGTTTAAAAGAGAACAAGTCTTTTCTAAATTTAAGAAGCTAGTCACACCTCCTCATTTTAATTTAAGAAGTTCAATTCATCAAGAAAGCTTAAGAAAAGACAACTCAGCAGCCATCCACTTACTAGAAGTCAAGATTTGGCTAAGGTGTTTTCTTTTGAAGAGATTCACTTCAACTTAACAAGAACAATATCGAGAAGTGTTCTCCCATTCAAGAATTCAAGTAAGATTCAACCAAGAAGTTTGCCAACTTAAGAGTTCAAGTTTGCAGCACCTTTTAGGGTTTCTTTGTGAATAAATAGTTAGCTTTAGGCATTAAGAAGAGCATGGACTTTAAAGGTGATAGACTAATCCTTAGTCTTAGGGTTTTTTTTTTTAATTTTTTTTTTCATTAGTTCTTTTAAGTTTCTTGAAGTTTTCTTTAAATTCATTTTTGGTTGGGGTGACAACCCAATCTCTTGTATTCTTTAGCTTTCTTCCCTTAAGTTTTTTTAGTTTTCATGTTTTTAATGGTTTTTTTAATTTGTTTTCAGTTTAATTCAAGTTCAATTTAAGTTTTCAAGTCATTTAAGTTCTATTTTATTTTTAATTCAATTCAAGCCTTTTTAGATTTCTATTTTTGCTTTCAATTCAATTCAATTTGCAATTTTTCTTTTTAAGTGCTTATAATTCATGTAATCCATGTTTTTTAAGTTTTGTTCATAATTAAAATTTGCAACCTAGATTAAGTTCCTTCTTAATTATGGTTTCATATACAAGTAATATATCTTTCAAATCCTTGCATAAAATCTAATGATGTCATGTAAAACATGAAAATTCCAAAACAAAAATTAATAAAGTATGATCATCTTTCATATGTTTACCTATCACATCTATCTTCACTAATGTAGATCAATACATGACTAAAGATCAAGCAGGACTTTATAAGCTTTAATGTAAAGTTAAGGTCAAGGTATGATAAAAGTCATTTTAGGCTTAAATACCCTAATAATGCATTACTTTCATAGGATCATTTAATGTTAAGCTTTCAAGGTAAAAAAAAAGGTAAGAGCTTTTATAAAGAATCATCCCCAAACTTTTCTTTTTGCATATCATTTTCTTTTTTTTCTATTTCACCATTTTTTTTCATTCATTCTTTTTCTTTTCTTTTTTCACAACTTTTTTTTTATTCTTTTCTTTTTCTCATCTTTTTCATTCTTTTTTCAAGCTTTTGCCCTTCAACCCTAATAATGTGTAGCTAAAAAATGATGCATGAATATCCTTATACACATAGTATAAAGGACCAAAAGATAGGAAATATCAAATCAAGACTTGGGTTTATAATGTGGGTTCACATCAAAGAAAGGATATTATTAAGCTTAAAAAAGGTGACTATGGAAGAATTACAACAAGATTAGCTTGAAAGGCTCAAACAATTCAAAAATGGCCTATATCATTTTTTTACTCATATGTCCTCTAAGATTTCATTTCAAGAGACGATCAAAACAAAATTTAAAACATGAAACACAACTTCAAAAATCAATGAAAAAAAAAATCTAATGCCAACATAATCAATCACTAGATAAAAATATAATTTAATGATAAAAGTATTAACTCACAAATGAAGAACTAATCAAAAAAAGTATACTAATGATTCAAGTTATAATAAGTTAAGCTCAATTTCAAGGCAAAACTCAAGAAAATTTTAAAAAATTTTGCAAAAATTTTGATCACTTTTCAAAACCCCCAAACTTGAAAAATATATTGTCCTTCATGTATAAGCAAATAAATAAATAAAAATAAAGTGCATAAGCGAAATAAAGAAACTCATTTATCATCTTGGAAGCATATTGGTCGAATGTAAAGTACAAGCAGTCAAACCATGTTCTCCAAACTTTTAGCTTTTATTCCACCTACAAAACAAAAAAAAAAAAATACCTACCATCAATATAGACAAGGAAATCTAAACAAACTAACAAAATAAGCAAATGAACAAAACATAAAATGTAAAACTTAGATTACCTCTTA